CTTACTCTTACTCTTACTCTTACTCTTACTCTTACTCTTACTCTTACTCTTACTCTTACTCTTACTCTTACTCTTACTCTTACTCTTACTCCTACTCCTACTCCTACTCCTACTCCTACTCCTACTCCTACTCCTACTCCTCCAACCCTTTTCCTTATAAGTAACTTCTCCCCGTCGCACCCAGAGGCCCGTTCTTCTGGCGGGCCGGGCGTTTCGCCTGAGACATCGTCACCATTCGTGACCCTAAAACGTAAACATTGGCAACAGTTTCACAAATAGATGGCGGGTGGTTTTCAAAATGTTGCTCTCGCCTTAGCGCCGCGCACATTCGTTCAAAACATCTGCGAGAGCTTTACGAACAGTTGCGAGAGAGTTTCACCGATTCCCATGATCAGCGTACCAGAAATGGTGCTTTGGAAGGATTCAGGATGAGGAGGGTGCAACAGCTATGTTGATTCGCGGTGTTGAAGTGCCAGGAATGGCGATCTGGCACGATTTCAGGACCGTCAAGACGAAAAAGTCAGGTTGACCCGTGGCGTTGGAATCCCGAGAAAAATATGTTGGCATGCTGCAGGGGCTTCAAGCGGTTGTCTTCCAACAAGGCAGCTCCCGCAGTGGAGCTGAGCCTTTGTAGGGCCCTGAGAGGGACTTAAAGGAAGGTTTACTCCAACTATTGTTGATGACTCTGGGGTTTACACTGGTCCTCCTCCTCCTCCTCGTCTCTCGCCTCCTCCTGCCTCTTTGTTTCCTGCCCCCCTCCTCCTCCTCCCTCCTACCTCCTCCTCCTCCTCCTCCTCTCCTCCCCCCCCCTTTCCCCCCTTCCTCCTGCCTCGTCCTCCTTCTCCTCCTCCTACCTCCTCCTCCTCCTCCTCCTCCTCCTCCTCCTCCGTCTCCTCCTCCTCCTCCTCCTCCTCCTACCCTCCTCTCCTCCACCTCCTCCTCTCCTCGCTCTCCTCGCTCCTCCTCGCTCCTCCGCGCTCCTCCCCCTCATCCTCCCTCCTCCTCCTCCCCTTCCTCCTCCTCCTCCTCCTCCTCCTCCTCCCCTCCTCCCTCCTCCTCCTCCTCCTCCTCTCCTCATCCTCCTCCTCGCTCCTCCTCGCTCCTACCTCGCTCCTCCTCGCTCCTCCTCGCTCCTACCACAACTACTCAATCTGAATACTACTCTCTCTTCCCCTCTCGCCCCCCCCCCCCCCCCCCCCTGCGTCCTGCTTTTTTAGACACAGGATTCCCAGGAGTTGGGTTTTCGCCTGTATTTGGTCAAAATGCTGCTCTCGCTGAGGCGCCGGCCTCATTTTCGGGCCCCGCTCGTTCCGAATCGTGCTCCCGCTGCAGCGCTGGCCTCATTTCCGTGCTTCCGCTCGTTCCGAATCGTGCTCCCGCTGCAGCGCTGGCCATTTCCGCGCTTCCGCCCGTTTCGACTCGTGTTCCCGCTGCAGCGCTGGCGTCATTTCCCGTGCCATGCCACAGCACACGCGCAAACACGCACACACACACACACCCACCCACCCACCCACCACCACCACCACCACCACCACCACCACCACCACCACCACCACCACCACCACCACCACCACCACCACCACCACCACGCACACACGCACGCACGCACGCACACACACCACCACCCACTGCGCACGCGCGCGCGGAGCCACAGGTCCGCTACGACACGCGTCCGCGGATAGAGAAAATCAGCGCCATGGTAGTTAAGGGATGGGAGGGAGGGGTAGGACGTCAGATATGACGCGAGCGCACCTAGCTTGACCCCTCCCCCTCCCCCCTCCCCCTGGGCCTGGAGAGGTCCTTTCGCGGGTGGTCAGGGGGGTCCTTTTCGACTCCTGGGAGGGCTAAAAAACGACACCCCTCACGAGGATTTTGAAGCCAAAATCATTGATTGTACTACGGTTTTGGCCCCATTTTGGCCTTCTGAAGGGGGCAGCGCTCATTAAAGCTCCCCTCTTCTTTCAAGGCAAAATCATTGATTTTACAAAGGTTTTGGGCCCATTTTGCCCTTCTGAGGGGGCAGCGCAAATTAAAGCCCCCCTCTTCTTTGATCGATTTCCTCCAATATGGCCCCAAGAAGCGCCCAGGAGGCACCAAGAGGCCCCA